CTGGGCTTGGAAGCAGGAAGGGAAGGGGAGGAGGCGGCGGCGCGGCTGTGGCTCCGTTTTCACACACACACACACCCCTCCCTTCTTCTGCTTTGCTCTGTGAAAGGGCTTCACTGCCGAAGCATTTTGGTTTAAAAAAAAAAAACACCGTCCCTTTCTCTCTCCAGTTAACAGGGCCAACCCAAGCGGTGCATTTTATCTGGGAGACGACACACACACACACACACACACACGACACGCGCGGCAGGAGGAGCGGCGTCCTCCGCGCTCTCGGCTGCCACAAACGCCACGCAACGAGGGAATCTCCTTTTGGGGAGGGGGTGCCGCCGGGCGGTCGCTACTTCTCGCCCGCAAAGAGCAGGAGGTGATGCCCTTGCCGGGCGGGGGCGGAGGGTGGAGACAGCCTCACATGCAGCAAAAGGGAAAGAAACAAAAGCGGGCACGGTACCTTGCGGTGAATCCCCTTAAGTCACAAAGGGCATGCCTAGGGGGAGCCCCCCGGCTACGGCCAGCGGAGAAGGGGTTGGAACGGGGTCAGGAGGCAGAGGGCGTCCTGAAATGATAGTAAACGCGGTGCAAACCGCTCTTCTTTTTCCTCCTGATTTTGGGATAGTCTCGCTGGTCTTCCCTCTTCCCCCGCCGCTCGCCGGCGTTCATTGTAGACCTGAGAGCTGTCACGTACTCTCGGGCACTGGCGTGGCTCAAGCGAGGATCAGCGCCCCCTTGCGACAGAAAGGTGAAAATCGTCCCGCAATGATGATGATGATGATTTTATATATATATACTTGGAGAACCAGAAGTAGCGGTGGAAAAATACAGGTTCTCCCCAAGATTACATTTCCCCCAACCCGTGAGGCATCTAAAAATGTTCCAATCTGATTTCTCCCTTCTGGCTTATCAATTATTTCTAGTCCCCCCCCCCCCTTTTAGGGGTGTTTTTCCTGTGTCCAATCCAATTTCCACAGCTTTTTGTGTCCTTTGGAAGTTGGAGGTTATGGGTACCCAAATCTTGTCCAGGAAAAGGGATTGGACTAAGAGGGATTTACCAATCGTTAAGATTACAATTTTCCTGCCTTTTCCTTGACTGCGTTTATCTGGAACAAACATTATAAAAAAACTTGTTTGGAGTTAAATTGGCATCCTGCCAATGGTAATCATTGGAATGTTCCATACATTTGGCTTAATGGAACTCCATAAGTTATACAATTGCAATATGCTGCAATAGTGAATTTGCAAATATAAATACTACTACATTTTCCAATTGCTGAGGTCCCAACAGAATTGAAAAGATGTATGTTTTCGGTTGGGTATAAGATCTGTTTATTTTCAGGACCACCTTCTGTAATTTTTTTCTGTCTTCGATAAACTAAATTGTCAATATGTTGATATTCTTTCAGATTGTGGGACCTATTCCTTCTCTGTTGCCCTTCCTGTCCTCTAGAATACCATTATCCTTATAAAAGCTTTCAAAACCTAGCTTTTTAAATAGACTAGTGTTTTTCAACTTTGTAAAAATTTAAGATAGGTGGACTTCAATTCCTAGAATTCCCCAGCCAGCCTCCTAGATTGCAGGCTGGGGAATTCTGGGAATTGAAGTCTACTCATCTTAAATTGACAAGGTTGAGAAACAGCAAACTAGAGACTGATGCAATTTGGGATTAGGTCAGGTCAATAATGGGTGATTGGAATTTTGTTTATTTCCTCACGAGGCTAGTATTTCTGTATTGACTCATGTATGTTTTACAATATTCGCACCTCTGAATTTTTATTTATTATTTCTGGTTTAGCAGCTCTATAAATCTAAGTAATAACAACCATTAAAAATATTGAAAACAAATTCAAATTCCACAAATTGAATTGATAGGAGAACATTCCTTATTTTTGCCTTTAGGAGTTAATTTGTTTGAGAATTTTGGATATATGAGCTTTTAAATGTAACTTTTGATCCATCAACACCTGCATGTACTTCGAACTCTTCACTATTTGTGTTATGATGTGTTACAATATAGTTTATATTTCCATTGGGCAAACAGCTAAGCAGTTGGACTGAGGTGTGCAAGATACTGAATGAGACCCTATTTAATAACTGTTTGCCGATTCCAAATAGAGACCACAGCTTTAAGGAAGTTTACAATAAAAAAAAGTTTGCTGTCAAGTATATGCTCACCTAGAGAGAAGCTTGCAATTTGTAGATTCTCCTGGACTCATGGCTACCATTAAAAGAGCAGGTGGATGCTGTAGTTAGGAAGCCATTTTTCAGCTCTAGCTGGCATGTCAGTTGCAGTCATGTCTCAAACAGGACATGTTGAGGCCAGTCACTCATGCATTGCCATTTAATGACTAGATTAATGTCATTTGTTCCATGTGAGACAGCCTTTGAAGACCATCAAGAAATTTCAGTTGCACCACAATGCAGTGTCCATGTGGTCACTGATCAATAGCAATAGCACTTAGACTTATATATTGCTTCACAGTGCTTTCTAGGCCTCTCTGAGCAGTTTACAGGGTCACCTATTGCCCCCAACAATCTGGGTCCTCATTTTACCAATCTTGGAAGGATGGAAAGCTGAGTCAACCTTGAGCCAGGGGAGATTTGAACTGCCAAATTGCAGGAAGCCGATAGTCAGCAGAAGTAACCTCCAATACTGCACTCTAACCACTGCGTCACTGAGGCTCTTAATCAAGTCATATTACTACCCTTTTACGGAGCTGTTTCTGGAGCTTCACTGCCAACTGTGTTTCCAAGCACAATAACATGCTGATTGCTACCTATAAAGCACTATATGGCTTGGCCCTGGGAATCTAAGAAACCACCTTTTACAGATAGACCCCACATGAATGCTTAAAGGATACCTGATAAAAATTCCCATCTACCAAAAGGTGGTCAGGAGAGGGATTTTCTCTCATGATTGGCATCTTTTTGAACTGTCTATTCCACGGGTATCAAACTCATTGTATCATGTTGCCGTCACTTGACGTTTCACATTTCCCACCCTCCCTGCGGAGCTGGGGTGGGTGTGGCCTAGGTGTGATGCATCCAGACCATGGACTGCCAGTTTGACACTCCTGACTCTATTCCATGAATCAAAGATTACGCCCACTCTTATGATGTTGTAGAAGACCTGACTTCTTAGAAGGCTTTGGGGTATTGATAGTGCATCATTGAAACGAAATAGTTTACTGTATTGTATTCCTTATTATTATGATTGTACTATTTTATTAGTAGTACTTGTACCCTGTCTTAAAACTATCTGGTTTGAAGCAGTAAATAAACTACATGAACAAACAAATAAAGGTACCAATGCTTACATCTGTCATACTGAACATTTCATATATGTGATGTAACTAGGAACAAAGGGATAGAACAAAGGGATGGAACAAAAGGATGGAATTGTATAGATCAGTGGGAATGTTGAGGCTGGATACCTTTGGTACCTGTGGTCATAGTGTGCATATTAATTTGTTAAAGAAATAGTTATTTTTATAACTGTCAATATTTTACTTAATGTTATTTCAAAGAAGGTTTTATAGGCTTCCTATATAAGCATTGCCTCAAATTTTTCACTCGAATTCAGAAATAAGTATGGAATTTTTTCACCTCGCAGTTAAATTATTTTTTGCCAACAGATGATCTTTTTAAAATAAAGTCTGTTCCAGTAATAAAAGAATATTCTTGACTGCATTTTTAAAATGTGGCATTTCTCTCTTGTCCTTTTTGTCTGCTGTTAATGATAAAATGTCTTCTCCAAAAATTGTTTGCCTGAAAGACAGCTGACAAAAATTAGTCCAAATTCTCCGACAGGTGAAAACATTTTGATAATGTTTATCCAAATGTTTAATGCACTGCATAAAGTGAAAATCAGGCAAGCTACATTAACTTAGAATAATGCGCTGTAAATGCCCCCTAATTTATAGCAGATACGCCAAGAACTTATCCTACTAAAGATTTACAAAGTTGCCTAATATATACTATTCTACACTCGGCGTTTACAATGTACACACACAATAAATCAAAGAAGAAGAAAAACCCAAAGAATATTATTCAACAACAACCAAACAAAACATAAATACAAATTTTTAAATTATTAGTCTGCCTTGACAAAAACCGCTCCACCGTGCGCTCTTCGCTCGTTTGCTTAGCGAGGGAAGACTCGAAGCCATGTAGGAAACTAGGCAGCAAGATTCACGCTTGTTTCAAGTATTCCCCGCATTTTCTCGGATCCCTTCGTTTCTTAAGAACATCCATTTATGAGGTTCGTCTTGAGGAAAAATAAGCAGAAAAGGAAGTGAGCGCTGTGCGCTACTCTAGACTGCATGCTTCTATTGAACTTGAGGCGCGTGTACGTTTCAAACCCATGTGAGTATAGCGACCTGCCTTAGTTCTATGATTCTTCGGCATCGCGTTGGTCGCACGAAAGACTTTGGGAAAGCGCCGGGCAGACACTTAGGTAAGGTTGGCGGGGGTGCGTCTCCCGGGGGATGGAGGCACACTTGACGCCGCGCAGTTCTCTGAAGGGTTGGGAGGTCCAAGAAAGGGAAGCTCCCGGGACTAAACTAAGGGGCTAGCACGTGTCCGGAAGAGTAACGTCTGAAGGGCTGTAGAGAGAACGAGAGAAGGGTGCTGGACCCTTTCGCCTACTTAGGATTGTACTAAGCAGAATGGATTGCTGGCGGTGCAAGGAAGGGAGAAGGGAGGAAGTAAGCCCATCGTCCTTACTTCCCGTTTGACAATTGCACCGTTAAAACACTATATATAAATATAACGAAGTTTATCCATTGGCTGTTGGTTTGGAGAGTGGGAAACGAGGGGTTTGGTGCTGTTCATATGGGGGGCAAAATGCTTTTGGTTCGTATAGTGGAAAATGCTGGAAAGGTGGACAACTGTGGGGAAGGATTTATTTTATTTATTTAGTTTGTCATGTACAAGATAACAGGAATAAGAATAAACATGAATAAGATCACAAGAAGTGGGTAAAAATAAATGGGGACAGTAGGACAGGGACGTTAGGTATGCTGGTGTGCTTATGCACACCCCTAGATGCGCTTATGCATGCCCCTGTTCCTGCCAAACTGCAGTTTGCTTGAAAACAATAATTTAATTCTTTATACTATTTATGTTGTTTGTATTTGTTGTCATGAATTGCACAAGTGGGCTAAAACCAATTTCATTGTATTTATTTTGTACAATGACAATAAAGGCTATACTATACTAGTTGGTTTCCTGCTTTGTTCTTTTAGGCTTTGTGAGTGTTTTGTGGCACTGTAACTTCCTATCCACTGCCAAAGATGTATATGCAGGTTGAAAGTCATTCAAACAAACGCCTTCACTTGAAGAGATCCCCGGGCATCAGATCTTGGTCTATCTTTGTAGGTAAGCCTTTTTCTCCCAAACTTCTAAAACAAAGCTCAAATGACATGTCCATTAAAAAAAAAAGAGTCAATTTTGACATTTTTTTGCTGTCTCTTCAGGGCTGGGAACTGCAGCAAATACTGTATAAGAACAAAACTGCTTGTTCCCATATCCCAGGCAACAATTGGAATATATGGATGGATTGGAATATATGGATGGATTTTGCATGCTGATTGTAATCAGAATTTTGACTTCAAGTCGTTGACCTGGGATGTATTTATTGAAAGTATCCCTCACTTATTCTAATACAACTTCTACAGAATCATTATACTATTCCAAACAGTTATTTGAATTGATTCTGGAAGTCTTTACAGTATAAGTCAACAAGATAATGCAATAGTTGGCACTATGCTATTTCTAACTCTCATTATATATTAATCCTTTACAAAATCCTCTTAGCTCAGCAAGGAAAATAGTGGGAGAATAACAAGGTCAGAGAGATAATTTTAATGTCTTTTTCTTCTAGAACAAATGTAATAAAAATTTCACTAGTCTCTGAAATATTAGAATGTATCAGATATATTATCAAATTGTTGGAAGTGGGCAAATTCTCAAAGCGATGGTTATATTTTATCCTAACTAGCTCTAAAGCACCTGATACACAATTTAGATTTCCAGCGTGTTTTTTTTAATCTTAGTACCTAAATAGCAGCCATTGTATTGAGTTCCAGAAAATAGCTAGAATCATTTTTTTTTAAAGATTCTTTGGAAGTTAATCTTTAAAATGTCTCTAAATGTGAACATAAACTTGTATTTTATATAGTTTCATCAGATATTTAAATAGTAGAATTAAATTGCAAATTAATTCCTTTCCTTTTTCTCTTTAGGAATCTCCTCCATTGGCATAGCTGCTGCTTATTATAGTGAAGGTAAATTTACTAGAAAAGTTTAGTCATTTGTTAATATATTTTTTAAAAAAACATGCTCACATTTCTCTCTGCCATTCTTTAAATTATGTTCTGATTTGTGCTGTGCCTTATCTAGTTGGCTCAAGAGGAATCAGTTGCAGTTCTGAACTCTGTAGTGTATATATTTCCATTTTTCCTAGATACCTCATAAGGAAAAGAGAAAGTATGAAAATGTTAAAAAATGTTGATTCAATGAACAGCCCCCATACCATTATGTAGAAATACATACATGCATGCATGCATGCATGCATGCATGCATACATACATACATACATACATACATAAAAATGGCTGTGTTTGTGTGTGTGTTCTGCATAACTCTGGAACACCTCGAGCAATTTTAACCAAACTTGGTACACAGATGACTTACTCTCTGGAAACAAATACTGTGGGGGTAAGACACCCCTAACACCCTTCAAGATGTGTGTGTTCTGTTACAATACAGCCTGTTGGGTCTTAAAATGGCTTCTACTGTACTGCTGTAAAATGGCTTCTATTGTACAGGACAGTGGAGTTGCCATGGTAATGGCTTCCTAGTACTCCATAAGGGGGCTCCCCCTGGTAAGGGGTAAAATCCAATATTAGAAATTATGTTTGATTCGGACATTTCCCCCCTATAAATAAATACCCGGGCAATGCCTGGTTATAAGCACTAGTTTTCAAATAAAAATGTAGGAGGCAAATGGACAATTTTTTGTTAGTGTAAGAGCAAGTGTTGATGGTGTCTTTGCCTTCATCTTCTCTCATACATGGCAGCTCATGGTATTTGCTTCAATAGATTCTGCACAACAGTTTCTCCATTTTTTTCTTTTAGTTCTGTATATTGCCAGTTTTAAACATTACCAGTGGGAATGTATCAACTACTATCATTTTTGCATTAACATTTAGTGAGCTGCTGAAAGCATTTGTAATTGATTTTAACACTAGCTGTTCTTAAATTAGCTTGTACTCTTATTTGTTCTACTTTAAGTTTTGATGTGATTGTTAATTTTTTATTTTCAGCCACATTTTAATGCCTTCAAATAATTTGAACAAAGTGTAAATTGGAAATGTTTTCAATTTGAAATATTATTTTGTTATTCAAGAAAGCCTGGGATGGAAACTCTTTTATCTTGTTGGCTGCCTCTTTGTAGCTGCACAAAACCTGGAGGAGTGGGAAGTAAGTACTATAAAGTCTTACAAAAAAAGTTAGTTTCATTGGCCAGATAGTAAATTGGAGAAAGACAAAACATTCAATAATGGAATGTGTTGAATCCAGACAAGATTGTTCTCAAACTTGTCTGATCAAAAAAGCACTTTTGGTTTGGAAAAAGGCATTCAGTTACTCTGGAAGTGATCCAACAAATTATAAAGGCTTGTTTCAGAGTCAAAACAAGTAAGAAATAGCTCATTCCAAACAATCCAGTTTGAGATTCAGACTTTGAGCTTTTTCTGAAACAGATTAAAAAGAGTTTAATGGGAAATATGAGATTCTGTAGATTTTATGTTTTAAGGAGAATCTGAGACAAAATTTGTTTACATGATCCAGAGGTTTGGAGTAATAGTCATTGTATATAGACTATTTTAATTATTGACATTAATCGTTACAGAAAAGAATGTTTACACTTGTCTGACAACTCTGATTATTTTCCTCTCATCCAATAAATGGCTTCATAAGATGAATTATTTATTTACTTATTTTACACAGGAAGTTATATTTGAGAAAGATGCAGGAAAGGTTTACTTAAAGTCATTCAGCCTTTACAAAAAGGTGTTGACCTTTTCCAGAGCTGGCCATGAACAAGGTAAAGCAACAAGTGTTTCTCTAGTATGGTGCATGCTGTACAGAAAGAAGTAAGATATTTACTTCATCCTGACTTAGGTACATATTGTAGTAAAATATATTTAGCTGTGTTCATAACTGTGATACTTTACTTGTTTGCTTAGGCAGGTTAAAGTTTTGCCTCTGTAAAAATCTGAAGAAAATGACAATTTCTTCAGAATCCTGCAGAGGCCAAATCCATGTTGCAACAAATTTCTATTCAATGTTGTTTTTGGTTTTGAGATTAAATATTTTTGTCTTCATAATAACTAGTAGGTTATTTGTTTCCAATGGTTGTGGAGATTTCAGAGTTAGAATTTTTCAACTACTATTCATTTTGTCTTTACATGATATGGCAGCATTTGGACCACATTGGTTGACTTTGAAAAAAAAACTTAAGAGAATTAGATCAAGTTATTACTTCAAGGGGGATCCCCTGGAATCAGCTAGATCAGAATGTAGAAGAAATATCCTAGAAGAAGGCGCTATCCTTGTAAACACCCTTAGCTCAACTCTACTTGAAACAATCTTTATTTTATGCTGTGATTGCAAGAATACCAGAATGGTTGGACAATGGACAAGTAAACTCCTCTGTTTTCCACCAAGAGTTTGCTTACAGCTACTAAGATCATATTTGCTTCATATTCCATTAATCTGTGCATAAGAAAGCAGTACAATTTTATGATGCAATAGTGTACATTGATTTATCAGAGGATTTTGAAGGCATACATATTTAAATCTTTAAAACACAGAATTCCCTGTGTAATAGTTGAAAATGGACAATTCTTCTATACTGTTTGAAAAGTTGTTAGCAAATCCTCAAGAAGTCTTAAATCTCTAAAAAAAAACATACATTCATATTTCCCTAATAATAAATATTAACATCAAAATGACATGTTTGTAAGCTAGTAATCTTTTTGTTATAAAAGGGCAACTACAGAAACTTGCTTGTGTTCATGTTGAAAGCGGCAAGGCACTTCCTAGTTGAAAGGATTAGGTGGTAACATCACTATTGCCTGGAAATGCCCAGTTAGAGGCTCCTTTCAACTCCCATTAATGTGCCCACCAAAATGGTACTTATCTATCTACTCGTAATTGCATGTTTTTAACTGCTAGGTCAGCAGGAACTGGACTGAATGATGGGAGCTCATCCTTTCACCCAGCAGCACTCTGGTGAATGTGGGCTTGCTAACCTCCAATCCAGCATCCTAATCACATAGCCACCACACTCCTTAGTACAGAAACTAAATTTATGGTTAGGGTTTGAGAGATTCTTGGAGTCTGTTGTTGTTTTAAAAAGATTTTCACTACACGAATAATGAGCTCCCTTCTTACCCTGGCCTGAAATGTACAAATCGTCATTCAAAAGTGCTGGGAGGAAAAACCTAAGTTGCAGGAGGCAAAAGAGAGCTTATGCTGATATTTTCTACAGAATTCAGAAAGTCTCCTATCTAGGGTCAGTGCTTGTTAGCTCTGATGGCCCTAAAATAGGAGGCAGTTGAGGATGTGCACGGAGATCCAGATAGTTTTTACTACTTTTGTGTGTGAATTGTATGTAGTATTGCTTGACAAGATTTTACTAATAATTCAGTGTTTGCTCCTTGCAAATAGTGGTTGTTCCGTTGGATGAAATACAGGCTGTAAATGTAGAAGAAGAGAAAGTTCGTTACTTTGGGAAGGGGTACCTAGTTGTACTGCGATTTGGCACTGGGTTTTCACACCCTCTCACACAGAATGCAGTGATGGGCTACAGAAGGTATGTATGAACTTTCTCTTTTGTCATTGATTGGAATGTTAGGAGGTATGATTTAATCTGAGATTGACAATTCCATTTTCAACAACCCAATTGTCCTTTTGTTACTATTGTTCTTTTCAAATTCTTCAGTGTGCATTAACTAGTTCATTTTCCGGTTAAAGTTATAAAGTTATAGTAATAGCAATAGCACTTAGACTTATATCCTGCTTCCCAGTGCTTTTCAGCCCTCTCTAAGCGGTTGGAAGGATGGAAGACTGAATCAACCTTGAGCAGGTCAGGATCGAACTCCTGGAGTGAGCAGTGAGTTTGTGACACCATGGCTAATTTAAAGTTATGGCATTTTCATGACTGAAATCTATTGAAGAATAGCAATAGCACTTATATACCGCTTCACAATGCACTTATAGCCCTCTCTAACCAGTTTACAAAGTCAGCATATTGCCTCCAACAATCTGGGTCTCATTTTACTGGGAAGGATGGAAGGCTGAGTCAACCTTGAGCCTGGTGAGATAAGAACTGCCAAATTGCAGGCAGCCGGCAGTCAGGAGGAGGAGCCTGCAGTATTGCTTTCAAACCACTGCACCACCACAGAGTGAATTGAAGTGTATTTTATTTTGAAATTTTTAGGTGTAGATGTCAGAAATGTGTCATTAACATTTTCAGTTCTTCAATTAAAATGAGGTTAGGTTTTTAATTATGTCTGCTATAGAACATGTAGCTGATTTTTAGGCACTTTTTAAAAACATATTTGGAAGAAATAAAACTACATATTTCTGAAAGTATTTTAACAATTTTTCCACACATTCTATGTATTTTATTTCCTGCCAGTTAGCCATTAGACCAGTAGGTTAGCAGAAAAGGCATAGTGCTTCAGGTAAATTAATATAATACTTCTTACTTATATCAGGAAGAGAATTGGCATCTGAAACCCCATACAATTAATTTATTTTGCTTAAATAATTTTGTTATCAGACTGAAATTTAATTCAGTTTGAAAATAAAAGTTAACATTAAAACCTATGATATTCTTTCAAGCAGACATTGGAACAATAAAGGCCAGAGATTTTGCTATCTGTTTTAGTAAATGTTTTACCTTTACTAGATGGATGCACAGTGTTTCATATTTTCATGAATAGCTCAAGTAGGCGTTAGATTCATTAAATCTTGCCTATTATTTTTTTCTTCCTCAGTGATGTTGAGGCTGTGGCCAAAATCATTGTTGGTTTCCTTGAACTGAACGAGTTTCAGATTGACGAAGGCCTTGAAACGAGTAGTGGAACGGATGTTAGTGATGAAGATCAAGCAAAGGACAAATAGTTACATGAACTCTGATACGTAAAAACCAAAAATTTTCTGGATGGTAGAAAACTTGAATCTGTTACATTATTAAGTTCTAGAAACATTTTTTAATTGTTAACTTCCTGTGTATAATGTTAAGCATACAGATTTGCAACAATCAGAAAGGAGTTTCTTCCATATTTTCTAGAGCAGGGGTGCCAAACTCACGTCATCAGGGTGGCGTCACGTGATGTATCAGGACTTTCCCCCCCCCCTTTGCTAAACGGTGGAGCCAGCATGTGACGCATCTGGTCCGCGGATCGCAAATTTGACATCCCTGTTCTTGAGTCTAGACCTATGGATCTTTCAACTGAAAGATTTTCCGGTGGGAATACCATTTGGGCATACTTTAGATGATTACCTAATTCCCGATAAGTCTTGAGCCTATTTCTCCTTCTGCACTCCTTGTGATATTTTTAAATTTCAATAAAATCCTCCAGCAAGAGTATCATGAGGCCATAGACTTCAAATGTAGAGCGTACTATTTGTCAACAACTGCACTTCCCCCGGAGGAGCAGTATAAAAACTTTTGCTTCAGAGCAAACCAGTTTGACACTACACCCAGATTTGAGGCTGGGATGTTTCCCCTCTAAACAAAAGGGAAAGCAGGAACAACTCCAGAGAAGACCCATCTGCAAGTGATTACCAGTTGACAAGCTATAGTACATGTTACATAGTGCAGAACCTCTTCTAATGGTTTTCGCAATTAAGGAGGTCTGTAATTACAAGTGAAATTTGTCCTGATCCAAGGTTGTTTTAAACAAAACTGGACTCCTGCTTGTAGTTAATTGGCAGTCTGTAAACTTGTAGTTACCAGTCTGTAATCAACAGTAGTTAGGTTCTTCCTATCTAGAAAAGGACATAAATGGGATTCCAACCAAAGGCTAGCTCTCTAATGACAGCCCACAGAGGTGATATGAGTCTGTAATGGTAAATCAGTGACTATAATAAATTCTAAAAGTTAGAGAGCTGAAATTGAATGTTTTGAATGCAACTTTTCAAAAAAATGCATATTTTTCTTGATGGTTTGCGTTAAATTACTGTTAGCTTTTCCTCAGCAACCACATTTGATATTGCATCCTTAAAATTGATAAGCACAATGAAAGTCTTATGTGTGTGCATATGCTTGCGGGTTTGTTTTCAATTCATGATTCACATTATATCCATTTTTCTCATATTAGTTTGATGGTGATTATATTTAACTTTCTACTGGGGCCAAGTACCAATAATGTCTGTGTTAAATTTACTGTAGTTCAAAGGAAATACCCAGTCTAATAGATAATTAAATGATAGATTTTTATTTCAAAAATGGGAAAAATGCTATATGTCAGATATTTCTGTTTAGAGGGTTTTTTTAAAAAAAAGAAAGAAAGAAAAAGAAATAGTAAATATCAAAAAGGATTATCCAGTGTATTTTATTAAACTTAAAAGGTTTAGGGTCTGTCATTGGTTTCCACATATGAAAAGTAAATACCCCACATTCTAGAAATTCTAAAAATATATTGATTGTCTTGACAGTTCTTCCTTTAGTCAATTTCTGAGTAGAACCTTGTTGAACAATAATTGTCAAAAAGACATTTTTGTTCAGATATGTCAGGTTATTTGAAAAGTGTTAAGATGTTTATTGGAAAGTGAATGTGCTTTATAAAGTGGTTTTTCAGTTGTACAATTTAAAAATTATTGCACTGTTTCATACTGAGTATTAATATTCCTTGTCAGATATTCAAATACTATAGTAACACATTTTAATGCTTCCTTTGTAAAACAACTTCTTGCTTTTAAAAAAATAACAATGGTTTAGGAAAAGTTATAAACTCCATTCTATAAATACTTGTTTCCTGGCTATGGCATTAGAAATTAAAAGTTTTTTTCTTGCACAATTAAGCAATAGAGCTGTGTCTACAAATGTGTGCATTTTTAAAAGCTGGACAATATTTCATAATTCACTGAAATTGATACAGTAGAAGAAATATCCATCTAAGCAAGATTATAATTAGAACATTAAAATAAGAAATGGTTTGATATCAAATTGAATGTAACACAAACGTGTCTTTGAGATGGTGAGACAACCTGAGCTGCATAAGGAAATTTAGGCATGAGGCTGTCACCTGTTCTGGTTCATGGAACTGAATGCTCATTGCTCATCTCAGAACTGATTACAGATGGTTATTTGGGGTCAATATTAAGATATTCTTTTGGAAGCAATCTGACATCTTGGAAATGTGATTGTATCTCTGACTAGGATAAGACAGGCGCTCTTTTATATAGTTCTGAAAAAAAAAGTCTTAACTTCAACATTTATTTATAAACATTTGTGTTGTAAACTAATCTTACAAGGCAGTTTGATTTATTGGAAAATACTATTTAATTAAAGTTCTTGCCTGGATGAACCTTAATACTTAAAATGGAAAGGTGCCTGTTTGAAGTTAAAAGTAAAGAGTGGCTATAACAAAATTGTATATTTTTTCCTGCATTGAATGTCTGGCAGAGGAACAGTTGGTGCCTTAGTAGCTGAAATCACTAAATGTTCAAATGCACAGCTTCAAGAAACTGTAACAGATGCAAGATTACTTGCAGTATAAACAGGCTTAGTTAAATGGAAGAGATTATACTCTTGTGTGCTCTCTTTCTCACATTACAATCCCATGTAAAGTTCTCTGTTAATTTGTAAATGTCCATTTTTAAGTTGTCTGTATGCTAATCCTCACTTGTTTTTTATGAATTCCTTAAAATTTTTGGTTGCATGAAGATAGTTCGTTTGCTATATCCTGAATGTCCCACCACTGTTTAGTTAGAAGATTCCTAACCATTGTAGTATTTAAGAGAGAAAAATTTTATACTTAACTTTTCTCACACTTCAGGGGAAGTATTCTAAGCATATTTACTTAAAGTGTCTGCATGATTTTTAAATTTAATTTTAAATTTAAAGCATGATAAAAAGAAGACTCATCTCTCTTATAACCCCAGACTTTCATTATAATGCCAAACGTATTAAAATTCATCTGGACATACCCTATTATTTATTTGCTTGATTCTAACTGAAAGTTGAGTTTCCAATTAGCAAAGTCATATATCAAAATGCTAAGACAATTCCTGTACTGCACAGTTCAGATCATCTACTGTTCCTTGAAGTCTTTGAAGGCTTGGTTCGACATTTTCTTCTATCCATTCTTCTATAGCAGTGGTGTAGAAAATCTTTTTCATGGCTGTTTGCAATTCCTCTGTTAGAACAGTCCATTTGGTCAGAAGCCTAGCAAAAAAAGTGATGCCATATGTTGAATAAAATACCTTGTGCTACAAAGAATATGTACATAATAGAAGATGCAAGAAATAAGGGGAGTATAATGTGGCAGAAGTTTTCATTCTCTAGTTGATAGTCAGCATTGAATAGGACATAAAACATTACTTTTCACATTACTTTTCAATTCAATGTGTTCCCTTATTTAAGCTTCCTTCTTGTCAACTCTATTGCTTCAATTATGCAGCCTTGTTCTCCTTTGTACTGTGCAAGATTTGCTGATCTCAATTTCTCTCTACCTGGTTCTAAAGAGCCTGCTGAGAGTTACTGCAGTCAATATAGATAATACTGCCTTGAATGCCCAGCGATCTGATTAAATACAATCTATTTCACCATGTTTCCCATCTCTGAAGTTGTTTGTGTTTCTAATGCTTTTATAATTCTACTTTCTCTCCTGTGTATTCAAGATTCTGAGATCTGAAGCGATTTGGCTGTTTCTTTCTTTTTTTTTCTTTTATTATTTTGTTGTTCTTTTTTTTTTGTACAAGAACTTTTTATTTTCCATTTTCATAACATATAATGACATGTATACTATTATATAGCCAATATCATTGTATTAAGTAATAATTACATCAGTTCCTCTTGCCATCAACTCCTCTATTTCTTTCTTCAGATCCTATGCGTGTTTCTTTCTCCGCAATTCAATTACTTTTATCATTTTCTGACATCTAATATCCAGTCCCATTCCATATTTTTAGTTATATCTCAGCTTTCTGCTAATTCTTTTATGTCTAGATATTAACATTTCTGCCTAGCTAAATTCACCTTTCACGTCCCATGAAGGACCAGCACTTTGTCAGCGTTCTTTTTTTAAGCCTTTTAAGTTGGAAATTTAAATTTCCACAAATAATTCATGATTTCCAACAGTCCTATAGTTCGAGGAAGTTCAAAATAGGGGATAAATATATTTGTTTTTATTCATCTCTCTCCCTTTAAGTGTGTTATTTATTTGATATATACACATACAACCACATACAAGTGAATCAAATAATTTACTTTTATTAATAAGGTAATAAGGGAAATATTTTGCTATTTCTGAATTTGATTAAATTATAGACTGTGTCAGCCGACCAAAATTTACAATAACATCCATAACTATATTTGAGCTGATGCACTGAAATCAATGAGATATATTTGTTATGATTAATAATATAAGTTCCATTAACTATCGGTCTAAACCTGATTGAATCTATAAAGAACCTCACTTAGGTCTCAGCATGGGATTGTCTGTATTGGTGGGTTTGGACAAGAGTGTAAACTTATAGCCATCAGTCTGTCCCAAACTAGTTTTAAAAATGCAGGCTTTGCATGAGATCACAGATCTTGAATTACCTTACGGCATCTGGCTGAAAGTGATGAATCATTATGGGATGGATCTTCTTTCTTTTTCTGTGGTAGGGACTAAACCAACCTGTAACATATCTAAAAATTCAGACTGATATGAATGAACAAAAACAATGAATTGAGAGACATCACATGTCCATTTATTCTATTAAAAATGTAGAAGGCATTTATTTATTCAGGACCATTCAACACAATATTGATACTGTTTAAATGCCATTAACCATGATGTATTTATTGGGTGATTTAATACATAACAAAATGATACTGTAATTTTATATAGATACAAATTCAATTATATATAAGAATATATAAGAATCAACTTTTGGGGAGGGGGATGGTACAGACAACGACACAATTTCTAACCTGTTGTTTTCCAAAAGTTCATCTATTGAGGATTTGAGGTAAAACGCAATTTGAGTTACAAATGAGAGAATTTCATTTCCTGGGAAAGTCCCTGTGATACCACTGTTCAAAAAGAGAATCTGTATCAGCTTTCATAAGTGGCTAGAAAAAAACATTTTATTCATTATAAGTGACTAGATATTATATTGTTCATTTGATTGTGAATTACTCCGGGCAGTCTTTTTAAAAGGATTTAAAAAATATATATATTAATAAAATATTAGGAAAGAATGAGCTTCCTAATAATACATTTACATCATCTTACATTATCTTTTGAGATGATGCCTGAGCCCTATTCAGATACGTATTAAATAAGGGAAGAGGATAAATCTTGGTCTTCTCTAATCAGTAGAAAAATCAATCTTTATGGATGGAAAAAATGTATAGTTGTTGACGTCCTCACAATTAAGAACTTCAGTAGCAAAAATCTCACTTGGCACAGATGTCCTTACCCTATTTGCTTATCTCTCTGCTAATAAGCTGTCATTAGTATATCCTAAGAGGAAGAATGAATAAGTGCTAAATGAATTGTTAAAGCAGAAATGGATGGCAGTTTTCTATCCAATGACAATGAACAGATTTTATCAAATCTTTCAAAATGGAAGACATATCTTTGTTTTCCTGCTGGCTTCCTCACTGATATGGAAAGTCAGCAGGAAAGGTCACAAATTGTAATCACATGACCATGGGTACAGCAATGGTTGGAAATTCGAGCCAGTTGCTGAGTGTCCAGATCACAATCAAATGACCATGGGAATGCTGTAATGGACAAAATTTACAAGGACCCATGGTCAGTACCATTCATTCAGCACTGTTATATCTTTGAATGGTCGCTGAACAAATTAACATAACCCAAGGATTACCTCTAATTTAATTAATCTTGATTGTATTGCTAAATATTTAAGATAAGGATGTCAACTTGCAGTTCTATATCTCCTTTTTCAGTGGCCTCACTATTCCTTCAAGATGCTATTATCCTTGGAAATCAATTCCATGTAATTTAAAAAGTGCATTATGCAGATTTGCTTACTTCTAATTTAGGAGAAAGGATGTGCAAAACTCATTAACTTGATAATGGAATGTTTCAGAGAAATCTGGAACATCTCTCCCTTAAGCCATGCCATTTTGGGTGTGGTTCAACAGTTTTATTAATTGTGATATCTCAAACCACTTCTCCTTTTGGAGGATTACTTTCAGAAAGAGCCAAACTGTTCCTGAAATGCCACAGTGAGGGGATTTTGGCACAATTTTAAGGCCAAAGTGTCATAGTTTTCTAGAATGTTCCGCTCTCAAATCCTTATTTTGAAGAGTAAGAGTAGATTTAATTTGTAATAATAATTCAGTAATAATGAAAAACTTGGGACTTTTACCTCATGAAGCTGTTTATTTCCAAATGGGAGAGCCCCAGTAATTTTTCTACATCTTCTCTCACTTTTTCTGAATAGCCACCTTAAAGATCCAAAGAAGAGCTTTTTTTAAGCATACAATTTGGAAAAGGAAAGAAAATTGGGTAATTATTTTGTACAGTAATTTATTACTATGATAATAGAAAATTGAGGAATGCCAAAATGTCTCATTAGTGTTCAGACATGCTCCTGCTACCACATTTCATGGTGATAATTGTAGTAAAGGTCCTGTTCAGATGTTCCTCAGTTGGACATGTGACTGTATCAGTTCTCTGGATACATCTTGCCCATCCCTCTCATATTGCTGAAAAGATGTTGATCCTATAAACACTTGAACATTTGGGATCTGTAATCTCCTTCAGATTAGATCTGTCTCTGAAGTTCTAAATAAATATGTAACTAGCTTAAAATTATCTGATAATCTTTTCTATTTGATGCTATATAGCTATTAAGGTGAACCTTGTTGATCTCACTGTTGAGGTCCAGCCCCGACTAGAATGAATGCATGAGGGTGTTTGTTGTTTTTAAATTGTTTTCTTTTATCGTTATGTGTTTTTTTTCCTTATATTTTTTGTAAGCCGCCCGGAGTCCTTTGGGATTGGGCGGCATATAAATATATTTAATAAATAAATAAACCTATGGCACAAGTGCCAGAGGTGGCAAGCAAAGCCATTTGTCAGGGCACGTGAGGTGTTGCCCTGTCAGCTGCATGCCACATGTGGTGCGCTGGCCAGCAGACTTCGGCTTTCTTTTTTGGCTGTTTTTCGCCGTCTGGAGCCTTCAGGGAAGCCGCCTGAAGGCCTGGGGGGTGTTTTCACCCTCCCCAGGCTCCTGGAAAACCTCTGGAGCCTGGGGAGGGTGAAAAATGGATCCATTGTGGGCCAAACGCAGGGGGGCGGGGGTTGCGTGCATAGAATTATGGGTGTGGACATGCCCGTGCATGCCCCGCTTTTGGCATGCCATCCGAAAAAGGTTAGTCATCACTGCGATATAGGGAATATCTAAGACAGAGCTCAAATATTTAAGAGCAGTATTTCCCTGGAGTTACAAACCATTTTATCACTATCCCAAGTTCCTGTCTGTTATCTCACATGTTCATAAAACAATTAGCCAAATAAAGTACTTAAATGCAGTGAAAGAACACAGCTGCCTATTATAAGTTACAAAGTATGGGTTAAATTAGAAGTGAAAAAGGTATTTCAAAGGAATGCACAATTTTTAGTATTAGTAATCCCAGTTTCCTTGAAACGTTATGGTTTAATCTAGTGAGTTATTGTAACTTTTGGGAACAATATTTTAATACATATATCATTCCAAAAATGTGGAAATTTACTGTTTTTAAGAAATTTGTTAATTTCTTAGGCATGAGGAATTGTTAAAAGGATTATTTTGAGATATTAGAAAAGTAATAGTAAGGACTGGAGTCAAGATGTGTAATATATAAGGCATTCTACTAGTAAAAAATGTTTTCTTTGACACAGATTTGAACACACTTTACAAGTTTTCTTTATTTGAAATGTTGATACATTGTTTAAAACTTGATACACAGAGTATCCCTAGATTGTTCATGGTTTTTGTTGTTTATTGTGTTTTTACTTTTGATTACTTTTGTATTTTTTATAATTTGTTGGCATATTTTTTTTAGTTTTAAGTGTATACTTCATTAAACTTGTAATAAATGAAATTAAAAAAATACGTTTTTACTGTGATGCTGTTTAAATGGCTGCGAGAATAATTTTGGAAACAGGAGGAACACAGGAATAGAGGTGAAGAAACTATCTCAGAAAGGACTCTTCCTAGTTCTCTTGAAAATAAAGGCGGAAAGGAGAGAAGTGTTATTAGACTTGCAAGATTCTGTTACTCTAATGTTACAACAAAGTTAGTGTTAGTACTCATGGTTGTGTGTTCCTATTTGGATGACCTCAAAGAGCTGATAGATCCTAAGCATGTGTTTAAGTGACTGAAGAAAGAACCATACTGTACCATTCTTTAATGCTTGGAGACATATGGCTAAGGATGGAATTCCCACAGGCAGAAGTTCACACAAAACGGAGAAGTGATCATACCTAAAGAAGAAAATGTAGGCCTAGTGAGGCAGTATAGCAGTAGCCCCTCAGATTGCCAAACCAATTTTAAGAGTGCCAATTTTCAATATACTAATAATGCTATAATATCTATTAATCTGTATACCATGTAGTTCAGTGGTGGGATTCATTTTTTTTTACTACCGGTTCAGTGGGTGTGGTTTGGCTTGGTGAGTGTGGCTTGATGGGCATGGCAGGGGAAGGATACTGCAAAATCCCCATTCCCTCCCCACCCCACTAACCTGCTTTCCAGCTCCGTTCTCCTGTCAAGGGCAATAAAAGATCAGCTAGGATGCTGGGAGGCAGCGGGCACGGGGCCAGCCTATTTGCCAGTTCTCCGAATTACTCAAAATTTCCACTACCAGTTCTCCAGAACTGGCTGAATACCACTTCTGATGTAGTTACCTTTGCCAGCCAGTCAGAGTGATTCCTCTTATGATACCAGCAGGACAGCTCTTAGCCACTTTCAGCCATTGCTCCTGGTTTTTAAGATGGTGTCCAATGAGTGTCAAGCACTGGTTTACTCCAGTGGCTCCTTTAAAGGCACTAGCAAACCAGAATTTTGAGAAGTTACACCTTTGGTACTTTTCAATGAGATTGGCTGCATAAAAAAAGAGACAGCAATGATACAGGTTGCATGAATTATTAAAAGACAAGGGAAAATTTATGGGAAAAATTTATGAAAAATTTGGGATGTTAAGGCCCTGTTCTTACAACTGATTTGTAATAAGTACAAACCTAAATTCAGATTAGTAATAAAGCATTACAAGCTAGTGATTCTCTGGCTCTGTCCACAGAGCTGATAAACTCAGTTAAAATGTAGGATCTGAATTTGCCTAATATTAACCGTTTTCAAATCATACCTCCAAGCACTACTGCTGCTGCTGCTTATTATTATTATATACTTTATTCATTAAACATGAAACTCGGTCAACTGAACATTCAAAAATGCATCACAAATACCATTGACTTGTGCTAATGGTTGATATGGGTTGCTGCCAGTATCCTAGGTATCAACCCAGTACCTTAAAATATACAATGTTCCAAGTAGCGCAGTTTTTTGCAGTTCCGCTGGTGTTATTGGAGGAAGCTGCAATTTGTGGATGTATCTTGTAAAATTCTTGGACATGGTGCCAAGTGCCCCAGTGACAATGAGTATCACTGTTACATGTTTCATCCATAATCACGTGGTTTCGATGGCCAGGTTGTGATATTTCGTGATTTTTTCCAGTTCTTTTTTTTTTCAACTCTGGCATCTCCTGGTATTGCGACTTCAATAAATTGTACGTTTTGGTTTTCGACAACTGTGATACCTGGCATGTTGTGTTCCAAATGATAATCCGTCTGTATTCGAAAGTCCCATAAGATCTTCACTGTCTCATTTTCAATAACTTTTTCCACTTTATATTCCCATGACTTTCTAGATACAGATTTTCTATATCTAGATTTTTTACATAATGACCAGTGCATTAATTTAGCAACTCGGTCATGTGTAGCTTTGTAATCGGTTTGTGCAATTTTGCTGCATTCACATATTAAATATGAAACAGTTTCAACTTTGTTGTTGCAAAGTCGGCAGTATTATTATTATATACTTCATTCATTAAACATGAAACTCAGCCAACTGAACATTCAAAAATGCATTACAAATACCAGTGACTGGTGCTAAAGGTTGATACGGTTTGTTGCCAGCTTCCTAGGTATCAACCAAGTACCTTCTTAAAATATAAAATATTTCGAGTAGCACAGTTTTTTGCAGTTCCGCTGGTGTTATTGCAGGAAGCTGCAATTTGTTGATGCATCTTGTAAAATTCTTGGATATGGTGCCAAGTGCCCTGATGACAATGGGTATCACTGTTACATGCTTCATCCATAGCTGTGTAGTTTCGATGGCCAGGTCGCGATATTTCATTATTTTTTCTGTTCTTTTTCTTCAACTCTGGCATCTCCAGGAACAGCGATTTCAATAAACTGTACACTTTGGCCCTCTACAACCGTGATATCTGGCGTCTTGTGCTCCAAATGACGATCCGTTTGTATTCTAAAGTCCCACAAGATCTTTACCTTCTCATTTTCAATAATTTTTTCCACTTCATGTTCCCATGACTTTCTGGATACAGGTAAATCATATTTTTTACATAATGACCAGTGGATTAATTTAACAACTTGGTCATGTCTAGCTTTGTAATCAGTTTGTGCGATTTTGCTGCATTCACATATTAAATGTGAAACAGTTTTGACTTTGTTATTGCAAAGTCGGCAGTTTGGGTTGTCGGTGGATTTTTGTATCTTTGCTTTCATGGCATTAGTTTGTAGTGCTTCTTGAGCAGCCAGTATTAAACTTTCCCTTTCTTTCTTGATGGTTCCCATCTTAAGCCATGTCCATGTCAAGTTGTCACCACATTTTCCTTCAATGTTTTTCAAGCGCTGTCCATGCAAAGCTTTGGTTTTCCATCAATTTAATCTGTCATCCAGCTGTTTTTCCTTTGTTTCTGTTGTTTTTATGCTGTTCTCCATTTTCACAGCCTGCAGCAATTTTTCTGTACTTTGGTTCACATAATCATTCAAACTTCGTTTTTCTTCTTCTACAGTGTGATGGATTTGCAATAGCCCCCTGCCCCCTATTTTTCTTGGCAGGTACAACCTGTCAATGTCACTTCGTGGATGTAAAGCATGGTACATATTCAAAAGTTTGCGTGTTTTCCGGTTCAGGTTTTCCAGTTCAGCCAGAGTCCAGTTGATGATTCCAGCTGAGTAGTGTATCACTGGAATTGCTCATGTATTAATGGCTTTAATTATGTTTCCAGCATTCAGCTTTGATTTTAATATTTTGCAGACCCTCCTGATGTATTCCTTTTACATTGACTCTTTGACTTTTCCATTCAAGATGTTATCTGCTTCCAATATGCCTAGGTACTTGTAACCATCATCCTTTGCTAATGCTTTCACTATATTTCCATTTCCCAGTTCTATTCCTTCTGTTTTTTCCATTTTTTCTCACCGCCTGGATAATATAGCAAAAAGGCCAGAAACACCAGCAAATGAGTTGTTTCTGTAGCAATATTTCTGCTGCTTCCACCTTGATTTAATTCTAGACTGTGTGTATGTTTCTGTGTGAGTCAGAAGCACAAAGGGTATAAAGAGAAAATAAGCTTTTTCCATTCATGTTTAGTGCCTCCGTACCCTATCAGGCCATTGCTGGTTATTGTTAAAAACTCAAGCAAAAGGGGACTGTTGCTAAACAAGCATATTCTGGCAACATCCAATGACCTTCCTCCCTAAATGGAGATTTAATCCCAATTTTAGCATAACATACTATCTGCTGAATGAGGGCTTTGGGAAGCTGTATTTACTCTGATCATCAGGACAGTGTATTTTACCATTTTTCAAGTACAAACCTTTACTCTCCACATCAAGATCAGGAGAATAATCCCAAATCATCAGCTCTATCATTTGTGCTAGCCCAGAATCTGGAAAGAAACAGAAATGTAAATGATTGTGAAGATCAAACTTTTGTGATGTTTGTTCTCAGTTTTGTACAAACAATTCTTCTTTCTGTAATTTAGAGAACAGTGGCTAAGATTCTAAAAAGAAAGTTCCTGCCTCTCTGAGAATGGATTAATGAAGCCAGAAATAATGTGATTTTAGCAAAACAAGTTATTTTAGCATTCACTCATGAAATAGTAAAAGATGTGGTGATTTAACAATGTGTTTCCTTTCTAACTGTTTCAAATTATTTTAATTTTAAACCAGTTCTGGATAATTATGGAAAATGTGGAGGTATACATCAAATTCTTGATCCCAACCCCAAAAATGGTTTGTGAGGGCAAGACTGAAGAAGATACCTGGCAACCTCTCAGTTCTGTATCAAATCAAAATTTTATTTACCTATAATTCAACAGTATATTTAGTGTTTTTCCAATTCATTTCATTAAGGCATTTCTATATTTTGAAATAATTTCCTATTATTTGAAGCAGCAGCGTTTATATAGTTTTGGGATTTTTATTTTTAAACTGTTTTCCTGTTCACAATAGACATTCTTGTCAGTGCTAATTATAATAATTATAGGTTTAAATTCCTTAACTGTGTATTTTCTGTGTATGGGTCTTTAGTGTTCCCAAAAAAACCTCACTTCAAACAGTTTAGCAATCTGACTTTATCCATCTTTTTTAAAAAATTACTAGGTTTAAGTGCTTACTTTTTTATGATGTTCAGATAACAAAAATGTTGGTAGACATGGTTATTGAACATTGCATTTTTATGAAAAATGCAAAAGGCTTTTCCAAATGGTCAAAGAGCTTCATTATACATTTAGAATAACTATCTCCACCATGAAAAGAAAGGAAAATTTCCTTTATAGTTGTAATTGGTCTTTCTTCTGCAAAAGTACCTCAAACTACTTGAGAGATTATGGGATTATATATAATGTTTATATTCCCAATACAGTGCACAAAAGAAAGTTTGGTTGATATTTGTGTGTCCACTGGCTCTTGTTTTCAAGCAACACAATTACCAAATGTCCACATAGTATGTAGGTTTCTAAACAGCTGATCTTACCCAAATATAGGGTGCATGTTCCTTCCTGCTCAATTTAGCTGTAGACACTATTCATAATTTATTTATGACTATTTCATACAGATAATTTCAAAAGTAGATAGTGTGTGTGAGGGACCCCAAGCAAATACGGGTAGGAGATCTGGTAGATAGGCTACTCTTGTCAGCAGGGACTTTCACATTAAGCAAGCCTAATGGCTTATTATTTAGTGCAAATGTGACTGATGAAAAGTGACTTCTCAGAAATCATTGAGTTTGCTCCAATATTCCAAAACTGCAGCTGGAATTCTGAACTGACTACCTACCTCTCAGAGTTTCTTTACTCATTCTCCTCAGCATGTCATCCCATACAATTGGTTTCACAGTGGGATGGGCTGAGACTATGTGACTGGCCACTGCTTTCATGTGGTCTAGGCACAACTTTTCAATAGTATTTTCTTCTTGCTGCAGCCATTCCTTGGATTCTTCCCCTTCACCAAGGTAATACACCTGAAGATATAGAGTCAATGTTTTTCTTCAATGATATTTTTCCTTTAGGGTACCTTTTATATTGCTATGTCATTTGGAAACAGGCTTTCCCAAATGATCAAGGAGCTGCTTTTCACATTCAGAATGATTATCTTTACCATGAAAATAAAGAAGGGAAAATTTCATTTATTACAGCTATTCCTTCTGTAAAATCATGTTAAAATAGAGTAATAAATGCTAAAAATGGCAAAACTCAAAATTCTAAATCTGGAAAATTGATGCAGACAAGGAAGAAATCAAAAGAAATCTGGTTTTAACACACATCTCAAGTATACCATTAGTGTACTGTTTTGCACTAACAGCAGGCAATCAACCACTCTGTGTGGCTTCATTCTTGTCAGAAATAAAGATTCTAATTTAACAAAACTGCATCTGGGAATCTTTAGCCATGTCACAGTGAGGAAACAGGTTCAACTTTTAAGTGCTTAGAGATCTGTGATTTCCCTCACTGAGAAATCTGACAAAATCCTGCAGGCATTATTAATTGTATCCCAATGTTTATGAAGTAGTAAAGTTAACTTATTCTGTGTTGTTTGCAAGAAAATATCTCATAATATCAGACAATTGCAGGATAGTAACAAGGATGGATAGGCAAAATTGTTATTATTAATCTAAGATAGGTATGAACACAATGGAAAATACATTTTCTTCCAAATATGAAACAAACCATCATCTTCCAAAGCTCTGCCCATCAATTTTACATCAGCCACTTTTTGGTGGAAATATACCATGAAATTACTCTCGGTATTGACTGAATTATGTTGTGGAATTATGTTGTTTTACAGGGTGACTAGAAAAATGTTAGTGTGCTGTCTCATCTCTCTGCATGGACTTTGTGATGACCTGTTTGTCCATCTTTGCACTGTCTACCCTTTCATTTTTCCTCTCAGCCACCTCTGCTGCCAATGTCCTAATTTGGCCTATTCCACCAGCCTATGCTTTCCCTGAGCTGTTGCTATTGCACTTTTCCACTCACCCCACCCCCACTTGTGCTCAGAAAAACAGTCAGTATCTGGAACAAAACAGCTTTTGTGTTTTGTGTAGACCAAAACAACTGAAACACAGATAATTTGTTTCAGGAAAGCAGCTAGCTGAAATATATGTTTTTTGTGTTTTCACCCTTGTCTTGCAAGGAGGTTTCTTTATTTTCCTTACACCAGGGTACAATCAAAATAACTGAAAAATAAATGGCAAGTGGCTAAAATAAAAGATATAAAAGTGTAAGTTTTGATGCATAACAAAAGCTGATCAGAATGATCCCATGAAAGATGGCATGAAGAGAAACATTAAAACAGCCTCGAGTAGCTTCAGGGCGAGACTGACAACAAATAAATTTAACAAATAAATAATTTAACCAAAAAAAAAAAAATTCTACAAGGAAACATAATAACGTGCCAGATGGCTATGACCACTGCTAAATGGCCCTGTCTTCCCTGATCAAATTCAGGTTCATGTTTCCAAGCATTACCTCATCACAGCCAATGTGAAACCAACGGAGATCGTCATGCAGTGCCATTACTTGCTGTATCATTGCAATAACCAATTTCAAGGAATCCTCTTTATGGGGGTTCACTGTGTTGGGGAACATTGCCACTTCTCGGAGGTGGCAGAATTCTTTGTGCTTCAAAACAAACTGCAGGAGAAGCAAGAACCAGAGGTAGTAATCCATAAACCAAAGCAAATATAGTAGAGTAATCCAGAATATTGCATAGCTAAAAATGCAAGTCTGTATAGGTAAATATATCAACAAAACAACTCAGAATTACAAAAAATAAAACAAACAGTGGTGAAACGTCCCTAACTAGGAGCTGGCACTTACCTCCATATGTCCAAACGTCTGTATTAAGGGGATCACCTCCAAATCATGCGACTTTGCCAGCTTTAAAATCTCTTTAACCTCAGCGGGACTAGAAGGAGAAACATTTATTAATAAATTATACCTTTGATGCCAGGTTTATTTTGTTTAGAATTCCATCTTACATGGATGTGTTTCCTTTGCATAGTGGACAGATTACATCTACATTACGTGTCCATACCTGCAACAAATTTAAACTAAATATTAGATACTCTAGATCAGGGCTGTCAAACTCCCAGCCGTGGACCGGATGTGTCATGCGCTGCCTAAGCGCGGTTTGCTCTAGAGTTTAAACCACTATCCAGTACACAGCAAATAAAAGAAATTAGAACTAAATGGAATTGTTTTTCAGGGATATTCAAAAAATAAAGAGTTTGCCCCTCAGTAGTAAATTTACGTAAGTTCCAATTACTTGGTACAGCTCTATAAAACTGAGATTTCAGTGAAGCAAGAGAACCAGATGTTGGCTCTTCTGAGACGACCGGCTGGCTAACATACCTGTATGCATCATTTGATCGGAGTGGCTTCAGTTCTCCATCATAAGGGTACATATCCTCATATTCAAGGAGAATACCATTTGCACCCAGCTCATGGAGCAATGGGAAGATCTGTTGGTTACATAGAACATCTCAAATCTCTAGTCAGTGGTGAATTGCTACATTTAATTTTATAAGAAAACAATGGCCTTAGAAAATGCCTCCAGATATATTGATCCCTAGGCTTTGATCTTGGGAGACAGCATGTTTTAGCTCCCTTGTTTCTGCCCTGTTTAAAAAAATAAAGCAAGCAAAGAGCAGAATCTACCTTGGCATTTCCCTTTCTTATTGAGAAACTATAAACCTTATGCGTACAGCACAAAAATGGGGAAGAAGCAGCTTTCTTCTCGCAAAATGCTAGAAGCCAGGTTCATACATTTCAAGTGAATATGGGAGATTCAGGACAGCTAATAGGAACAACACATAGAACATATTTAATGGATGCAATGGAAAGATGATGGTTGGAAAACATGATCCCAAGGTGGAAGGGATTAGATAAATTCACAGAAGATAATGGCTAATAGTCATGATGGTTACACAATACAGGTAGTCCTTCATTTATGACCATTTGCTTAGTGACTGTTAAAAGAGACAGATCTCTCTGGAGATTATTTATAAACCAGATACCCAGTTCTGACGGTCATCCCACTGTATTACTTCACCAGACTTCAAGAGCTCAGCAACTGGAATGCATTTATGGCCATTTGCAATCTCCTCTAGTCATTTGACTTTATTTTATAACATATTTTGTCAAAAACTGGCATTTATTTCAGATTTTTGGCAAAGACACAACCATAGCAAACTATTGATTTGCTTAATGACTGTAGCATTCACTTAGTGACCACAGCAGAAAAAGTTATAAAAATCTGCTTAGTCACATGGTTGACTCAAGTTACATCCATCGTGAATTACAACATGATGGGCATTACGATCATAACTCAAGGATTACTGTACTACCAGCACTTGAGACAATAAATCGCTGGGGAAAATAGGTGCGAAATGCTGCCAGAGACATTTACTTATTTAGTGTGGTATTAGAAAGACGGGTATCCTAATCCAGCACAACTCTTGAGTTCTTCCTAATGTCACGTTTCAAAGCCAGTTATAGCTGATTTAGAAGCCATTATTTCTAAAGTATTATTTTCCAGGGCATTGTCCTTTTTAATTGCATAGTTAACTGAATTGTAGTAACACTGCAGCTACTCTATACAAAATAAATCTAGGAATGTTACTGTAATTGGTTGACTGATTGATTACACTTATCTGCCACCAGATTCCTATTGAACTCTCCTTGGCAATTATACAATTTATAGATTGAAGACTACTTTTTTGAGCTGGGTGGAGCTAGAAATCAGTTCCTCAATTATACATATAAAGACTGTGTTACCTCTGCCAGGTATGAGACTCTGGGTGGAGCCCCCTTGAGATCCAGATGCACCAGGCGCAATTCAAAGGGAGGTGAAACCATCATTATATTTTCTTCTGCATTTGCTGTCGGCAGTACACCAATTAATGATATACTGGAAAAGAGCAGTAGCATTACCACTTGCCTCATTTGCCTCATCATTAATTAAGATAATAGAAAGTTGCCACAAAACCACATTTTGTGAGTCTTTATTCTTACAAGGGGGCACAATGTCAAAATAAGCAACATTTGTATTTTCTTCATGGCTTTTACAAAGCAAATACCATAGGTGACCATCCTAATATATAAGTGGAAGCACGCTTTCAATCACTTCACCCTTACAACATGGGTCAGAAAAAGGAATGTCAAATTAAACCTTGAATCTTAAGTAAATATGGTCTGAATCTTATTGTTGACAATCACTAGCTTCTTGTTTTCTTTTTAAAAATACATATTTTAATATATTTATGCCTTTGAATCTCTACCTGCAAGCATTTTTTTTTCGGTAATGGTTTGGGAGAAGCATAATGCTACTAGTCTGAGAGTGTTACCACACTGATTATCCTGCCTCATAATTACGAGGCCATTTAGTTACATAAAGCTCTTCACTCCAAGGATGTTATGATAAGAGACTGATGTTTTGAAGCTGTCAGAGAAGAAATAGTTCAAGTTCTTGTTATATGCCTAACCTTTCCCACATACAGGTAGTCCTCAACTTACAACAGTTCATTTAGTGACTTCAAAGCTCCAACAGTACTGAAAAAATGATTTATGGCCATTTTTCACACTTATGACTATTGCAGCATTCCCATGGTCACATGATCAACACTCAAGACACTTGACAACTGACTCATTTTTAAGATGGTTGCAGTGTCCGGGGTTATTTGATCCCCTTTTGCAACCTTCTGATCAGCAAAGTCAATGTTAAGCCAGAGTGACTTAACAACTGTGTTACTAACTTATCACCTGAAGTGATTAACTTAACTTGATTAACTTAATAACTGTGTCAAGAAAAGTCATTAAAAGGGGGAAAGCTCACTTGACCGATGTTTTGTTTAACAACAGAAATTTTGAGCTTAATTGTGGTCATAACTTGAGAACTACCTGTATTCCTATTTCCTTCTCATCTTCAAGCCATAAGCCTCAATCATCTCAAAGAGCAAATTTGTCACTTAGGTCAGTATAGGATGACATAAATTTTCCATTACAACTGAAAGGCATGTTTCTTTGAAAAAAGCCACATCACATTCAGAGAGTCTTCTCTCCAAGTAAAAAATGCTGCTTTATAGCTTAATTTTATTTATTAGCATTCCATTAAAGTTACTGAGCCAATTTGTAATAATCTAGAAGAAAATAGATATTAGGGAAACAGTTGTACTAATATTTTAAAATTTGACATATCACTAAATCTAAAAGTTTCAAGACATTTTACAATAGACAGCCATCAATAAAGGAGGATACTTGATATTTGATGCAGGAAACTGCTTTATGCCAAACTCAGAACATTGATAGCTCAGCATGTCAACCCAAGTCGCTTCTGAGTTAAAATCCTGGTGATTCATACATTTTTTGTAGCATTATTGACCTAGTCTGCTATGAAATTTTTCTAGGATGTTTTCAAATTTCCAAGCCTAATGTTTCTTTATTGTCTCCCATTCAAGCAGTAACTAGATATTATCCTACTTAATGTTTTGAGAATCAGTCAAGAACCTGGCCATTAACAAAAGGCTCAACATATCTGGAATACCATGTTTGATGTTCTCTCAGCCCTATCTAAAGATGCCAGGGGTGCAACCTGAGATTTTATGCATGCAAAGTATATCATATACATTGCAGTTATATAATATGCAATACATGCCAAATTATTGGGACATATTGGGGAAAACCCTATTAAATAAATCAATTTCTGCATACATATGCTTTAGAATATGTTTATATTTATTTATTTATTAGATTTACAAGCCACCCAATGTCAGAGTGACTCTAAAAAATAGAAAAACATTTTTTTTAAGAGCCTAAACATCCAGACAATCTGCACATCAAACCTTACCCACAAGGTCTAGGAGAATAACCACATTCAGAAGACTTCCTACGAGAACTTAAGGATCTTTAGAAGTTGTTAAAATTAAGAGCAGGTCACAAATAGTAATAATAAATACAACAATCAATTTGTTCTCAAGGATTTCACACGTTACCCTTGTTAAGGTAACAGCGTGAAATGGGTATATGTCTTCATATTGCAGGTGACTTTCAACTCTGGGACAGCTGCAACTCGGACTAGCAAAACCTCCACGTCCTTCTCCAAGAGCAAACTGGTGTCCTGAATTCACCCCTTTGCAGGGTCCCATCTCCTTGCAGACAAGACAGCAGAAGCCACAGGAAAAAAAATAACCAGAGTAAATGCAACCTTTTAGATATATTGTTCATGGCTCAAGCCCCAGCCCCTATCCGGCGATCTCTCGCTCGCTCGCTCTCTTTTCTTTTAAGCTCTCTACACCTGGTTCCGAATAACCTTATCGCAGCGGACGCCCCTCTCCAACAACTGCTCACCTTTCCATCGCCTCTGGCTTGTGTTCGGCTGCTCTAGGCTGGATTGAGCATGCCTGACCGCTCGCGTTCTCCAAGCTCAATAGCGGCTCCCTGAGCTTCCGGGTCGGATGCTGTGAAAAGCCTATTGGCCGATGCCTTCCTCCGTCCCCGCCCCCTCCAATCCTCGAAGGTAGCATCCTCAGATCTAGGTAGAGCGGCTTCATTGGATCCATGGCGCCTCAGCGTCGGCCGGCTGGGAGGGCTCCGGAGAGTGGCGGTGCAGGTGCGGCGGTTCGAGCGGAAGAGCGTCGTCAGTGCAGCAGGTGCGAAGGGTGACTGGGTGCTTAATAGCTGCCCGTTATGGCTCAGTGTTGCGCATGGGAGAGAAGAAGCGCTTCATCTTTCCCATCCCGCCTGGCTTGTTTCACTCCTCCTACAGCTCTTTGCCCAGCCTGGCGCGCTCTCCATCGAGGTGGACAACGCTTTCCAAAGTCTATCCACCTAGGACAGAGCTGGCTGTATTTAGAAGTCCTTGGGGGCCGGATTGAGGGCTGCCTCAATAAATCACACAAATCCATAGGGTATCAGTTTGGGGTATTTTGTGTTTTGAAGGCTCAGGACTTCTACCGACATGATGAATCTAGAACAGTGGTCACCAACCAGTGGTCCATGAGAAAATTTTGGTGATCCGCTAAAAATAATTTGCATTTTTTATATTGCACTAAATACTAGTTACCTTTTTTAAAAAATATATTAGTGGTCCCTGGGATTTAAAAGTATGATTTTATTGGTCCCTGGGGTTGGAAAGGTTGGTGACCCCTTATGTAGAATCTATCACAAGGCAGCTCTTAATAATTTCTAGTTGGACTGAGTTGGATTCTTGCAATAAGATTCTTATTAATAAGGTTAATAATAAGGTGACAGGTTGGAATCTGCTTATGAGAAAAAAGCTTTCTCCTTTCCCTTCGTTTAAGATGGTATTGATAGCTGGATTCTAGACAAACTACTTTATTCAGGTAGTCCTCAACTTACGACCATATTTGAGACCAAAATTTGTGTTGCTAAGTGAGGCATTGAGTTTTTTCCCTATTTTACGACCTTTGTTGTCACCATTGTGAAGTGAATCACTGCAGGTGAGTAAGTTAGTAATTCGGTCGTTAAGCAAATCTGGCTTCCCCATTGACTTTCCTTGGTAGAAGGTCGCAAAAGGGAATCACGTGATCCCAGGACATTGCAACCATCATAAATATGTGTCAGTTACCAAGGGTCTGAATTTTGATCATGTGACCATGGGGATCCTGCAATGATTGAAAATGTGAAAAATGATCACTTTTTTCAGTGCCATGGTAAAAATGAACTGTTGTAAGTCAAGGACTATTTGTATGAGTTCCCATGTTGAGAATATCTATGCTGCAGGAAAAGTGGGAATATTATAATATTTCAGCAGTGCAGATAAATACTCATGAGTCATATTCATGACATGGGTAGCTGAATAAAAAAAGAACTCTATGGAATAGTTAAGTTCATTAAAAGAATTTCCGCTTCCTTTTGGTGCTTGTGTTGTTACTTGGCCAATACTATCTTTTATGAAACTTTTATGTTTCTTCTGGATCATGGCGTTCCTCTGTCCTAAAGAATTGCCTTAATGACTTCTGCCTAGTATCCTTACTGTACTAGTAGAGCACTGGATTTAGGCCAGAAATACCCTAACTATTTCCTTACTCAGCCACAGAAGTTTCTGGGTAATCTTGAATTTCTTACATGTGGACAACTTAATATTTGCAAGTCCTTGTGAGGATATAAATAAGAAAGGCCGTGGGGGAAGAGCTAGATAAAAATAATATTAAGTGCACATTTTGTCTTCACAACAATTCTTTGAGATAGGTTGACTAAGACCGAATTGTCTCCCAAGTCAAACAGTGAATTCTCTTTGTGTGAAACCTTGAACCTGGGTCTGTCCAGTGCAAATCCAAAATCTAAACCACATACTGTTCTAGGTCTGTATAGCAGTTTATACTAATACTTTCTGTAACTTACTACAAATCACTGAATTTTAAAAAAGAGGTAGAAGTCAGGTGTTTCAGTTCTCTTTGATATTCCAGAAAACATGTATTTTTTAGTAAGCCATAACGTATTAAGTGTACATTATCGGGAATTTTAATAGCTAAAGGCTATTTTTCCCCAAGCCCAAGATTCAGAAAATGATGTTTCTTACTTGATGTGAATGAGGCTTTTGTATTAAAGATGCAGTCATTGAGCCTATGTTATTGAATACAAGTGTATTTCACTAGTTTTATGTTTAAAGAAGTGCATATTGTATGAATTATATTTATTGCTTTTTAAAATGCATGTTCTGCTCTTTAATATAGCATTTTCCCAGATCAGCTGATACTATATGGTGTACTATAATCAAAAGACAGACATTTTAAAATTAAAATAATGATGAAAAAATAATACACAGTAAAAGTATGAAGGCCAGACATAGGTTTTAAAACTTCATTGTAAAATCCAAAGTCAAAGTATGTATTAAAGAAGAGAATAAAAGCATCTTGTTCTGTTTTCAGTGGCGTGAAAGATAATACTCAGAAAGATGCACGACGAAAATGGTTAACAGCAGCTTTCCTTCTCTCATCTGCCATGCTGGGTTATCTTTTGAGTAGAAGCTACTTGTTCAGTGAAGATGGAGTTACAGAAGTATTGGCTCATCATGGTGAAAGCATCCCAGACAAATTCATTGAAGTACCCTGCTCAGAGGATTATGACAGCCATAAACGGTTTGAAGGTATTGAATAATATGACCTGCATTGATGCTTTTTAATAGTAAATTTATTAAAATTAAATTAAATAAAATAATTTATTTATTAAAATTATAATTACAATGATTAAAAAATTAATGCAAACTAAAAGAAAAAAGTAGAAAAATAAAGAAAAGAAAAATAATAATATAGTAAAGTGTGTGTGTCTCTGTGTATCTATGTATGTACTGTGCATATACCATACTTTTCAGAGTATAAGACACACTATTTTTCCCCTAAAAGAGAATGGAAATGTTGGTGTATCTTATATATTGAAAAGCTGTGCAAGCCTCTCAAACCCTTTGCATGCCCTGTTTTTGGCATCCCCCAAACCCCCATGTTTTGCATTTTTGTGCTCCCCAGCCCCCAGGAGCACTCTGCAGGCCTCCCAAATCCTCTGCGTGCTCCTAGGGGTCAAGGAGGACAAAAATGGTTTTTTCTTGTTTACCTCTTCAAAATCTTGGTGTGTCTTATATTCCGGGGCGTCTTATAGTCTGGAAAAATATGGTATATGTATGTGTATGTATATGTGTGCATGTATCATGTTTTCCCGAAAATAAGACAGGGTCTTATTTTCTTTTGAACCCCAAAATAAGCGCTTGGCCTTATTTTCGGGGAGGTCTTATTATTTTTGAGATGCAGGAGACGGCGAGCCTGGTCATCTCATGGCTGCTGCTGTGTTGCAATATTTTTGGGGAGGGCTTATTTTCAGGGGAGGGCTTATTTTAGCCCATGCGCTCAAAAGCCCAATTGGGCTTATTATCCGGAGAGGTCTTATTTTCAGGGAAACAGTGTGTGTGTGTGTATGTGCGCACACACACACACACACATATAAATTCATCACAATTATAAACAATTGTAGTAACTTATCATCTTCTCTTAAAATACAACAAGTGATCTTTTCTTCCTGTATTCCATCTCTGTTCTGTAAACAAATTAAAACCTTGTCATTCCAGTCCTGATGTCAGCAAAACCCTATTAAGGGATTACCAGAAATAATAACATTTCTATTTTAACCAAGTGATGCAATAAACCAAGTCTATTTCCTTTCTTTGCTTCTAATAATCTTTTATTTGCAGCACCGCATGGTTACATGTCTGTGATTTATCTCAGTTTTACTGAAAACCAGTGTTTATTTCCTTTATTGCAAAAACCAGCCATAGCAAATAATAGCTTTGTTTAACAACCAGTGTAAAAAAGATCATTAAAATAGGTCTAGTCCCACGATAATCCACTTTGCAGCCATCATGATTTATAACCATGATTGCCAGGATCAATTATAGTTATAATTCAAGGACTATCTATAATTCAGTATTTTACAGTGGCACAAAAATATTTTTATAAAATAAGATGCACACAATCTTTCATGATTTCTACACAATATCCTACCTTATGTCCAGAATTTATATTCGGGTTTAGAGACTTCTAAAAGTCAGTGACAATGTTTCTAGGTACCACCAAAGTTCAAAACTATATTCTAAAAGATCCTTACATGAGATTTTCATAAACGGAAGTAAGAAAGCACATACATGGGCATTGTTCTGACCTAGGCTTCCTGATACAATAAAAATACACGATGAAGTCCCAAAAAACTCTTTTTATTTCAAAGGCTGTGAATTCTATTCATTCACAGCCCGTATTGAATTCCAAATAATAGTAAAGGGTTCTACAGTAGGCTGCCAAAGTCTGTCAGCATAAGGCTGCCAAAGACTTAAATGGCAATTAGCTTGGCAAGACCACACAGAGCAAAGAGTCCAAATATATTTTCAAAAGATAAACTGATCACCATGAACCAAGTTGCTTCCTGAAAAGGCTCATGTGCCTTTGCTCCTCCTTTATATCCTATGGGAGGAGCTAATCTAGGTGGGTTCCTACCGGTTCAGACTGGTTTGGCCAAATAGGTAATAACTCGGCTGCCCACGCTCCCGAACCGGTTCTATCGGTGTTGCTGTAGTGCCATCTTGTCTTTTGCTTCTGCGCATGCGCAGAAACAATTTGTTTACTACTGCGCATCAAGCACACACAAAGTACATCCCTGAGCGAACCGGCAGTAAAAGAATCCAGAACCCCCCCATAGGCCAATCAGTTCCAAACCTGACAACTGAATCGTCCCTTCTGTTTTAACTGTTCTTGCCTTCTGGCAGCTCTGCGCATGCGTACCCTGGGAACAGGTGGAGCCTGTTCCTCCGCCTTGCTGCTGTCCAACTCTTGCAGCTCCAGAGGCAGTATGTAACTCCCAGATAGCCCTGGCCCCCTCTCTGCCTCCACTGTAGAGCCTTTGTCCTAGCCTTCCCCAGATTTCAGGACTGTCCCATGTTCCTCCCCAACCTCCTCGCTGTCCAACTCCGCTGTGAGCTCCGCAGGCCGCTGCCGGACCACAACAGGCAGAACTGTATGTATTATGATGATGCTGTTGAGCCATGGATCAATGCCAGTATTGGATTGGATTTAGATTTAGGTATGAGATTGACCCCAAGCCCAACCATTAGGTATGTTTCTGTTTATAAACTACACAGATAAAATTGCTGATTTATTGTTACAAACTACTGGCATGAAGCATAGATCCTCCATATTTTTACAGAAGATTTCAATCAAAATATCCTTTAAATTACAGATCATTTCTCTAATATATGCTGCAATGAGGCAAAAGCATAACTGTGATTCACTGATGTTCATAAATCTTATATAGGATCCTTTCCAGCATGGACAAATCACCTAGTATGATTCATATAATTAAACCAAGTTTTTAAAAAAAAATTACACTGTATATATTGTACATTGCAAATATGACAGAAAATTGTACATGGATTATGAAATCATGGACTACATCCATGCTGTGCCATCACATGGATCTTCTTAATGTGTACAAAAAACTAAAGATCAATTGTCAGTATTATTAATTCAAGCTATGGTTCTTCTGGTTTTTCATAGGAGTTCAAAGGCTGTTTTTTCTAGTATCTGGGAGAAGCCTCTCTATGACTTCTTAGTGTTCCCTTTGGAGAGTCATAGGATATATTCACTCAGAGAGATTATAATAAAAATCATGTACTATTAGCAATACATAAGTGCAAAAACCTGAATTTCATTATAGCCTTATATTTTGGGGGGAAGGGGGATTTTACAAAAGAGGGTCAGTGGAGGGACACTCAAAGGAGTGTCATCTCACAGGCTGCATCTATAAAGGATGCAGAAGGAAAAGAAAACTATGCAGTCAGTGCTGCTATGGCATAAAATGGGAAATGTATAAAGCAAACATGAATCTATCCCAAATATCCATGGTTTTACACCATGTTGCTGATGTTACTTTCCAGTTCTGTTGAGTCTCTGGAGTCAGATGGCATTTTTTGGGTGCATAGGAAACTTTCCCATAAAATAAGCATGTAAAATTTTAAACTTCTCGACAATTTATCATATTTTTCGGAGTATAAGACACACCTTTTTTCCTCAAAAAAGAGACTGAAAATCTGGGTGTGTCTTATACACTGAATACAGCATTTTTTTTGCCTCCCAAAGTCCCGCCCCTTCCTGTGTATACCCTTATGGAGGCTTTCAGACAGCTCCTGGGGGCTGTGGAGAGCAGAAATGAGCAAACAACGGGCCGTTTTTTGTCCCCCCAGCCCCCAGGAGCACTCTATAAGCCTCCGTAAGACTATGCATGCAATTTCTTTGACATAAAAGAGGCCCGTTTTCATGAAAAGCAGCCTGTTTTTTTCTCATTCTCCCCCTCCCCCCAGGAGCACTCTACAAGCCTCCCAAAGCTCTGCAACTCCCCCTTTTTTGCAAAAAACAAGGCATACAGAGAGTTTGGGAAGCATGCAGAATACAAAAAACTTTTTTAAAAATTTACCTCTTCAAAATCATGGTGCATCTTATACTCCAATGCATCTTATAGTCCGAAAAATGTGGTAATTAAATAATAATCTATTAATGCTTCTATTTCTGAAAGCATTCTTAATTTAC